TTGAATAGGAGCTTTGCCTCTCTCGTCGGGAATTGGACCGAGGCGCTCCAAAACTGATTTCTTCCTTCGGGACGATTCTGCATGATCTCCCGGAGAAGCTATTGGAGTTATCGACGACTTGGGTTGATTCGCCGGTGGTTGAACTTTTGTTGGAGGCTGCTTCGGCCTCCATACTTGGCGGGTTGGTAATGGCTTTTTGGCCACTCTTTCTTCCCTCTCTTGTTCTTCAGATCCGCGTTGTAGCGGATCCCGTCAACAGACTCCATGGCCTTTGCGAATTGTTTCGCAAGGCGTTGACGTTGCCTTTGGCGGGCTCTCTTCGAGAGAGTCACCACGCCCCCTGCGGTAGAAGGGTTGGCCAGAGCAGATCCGACCTGGTTGGGAATTGGAGGAATCTCACCCGATGCGACTTTGGCATCCAGCGGGGCGAGATCTTCGTTGGTGTTTTTCACGTCTTCATACCAACGAGTTTTTCTCCTGGAGGAGAGCTTCTTGGACTTGCGTGGGGAGGTTGATCCGGACAAGGACGACAAGTATTCCTCGAACTTCTGTTGGTTGAACTCGTATTCGACCTCCTCCACGACCGGGATTGAGATCCGCGACTGCGACGCTCCGATCTCGGCAGCAAGATCGGCGGGGCCCCCCCTGGTCGCCAGATTGTTCGCGGGAAAAATCGTGTCTTTCTTTGTAATTGATTCCATTGTCATCTTAAATAACAGCTTTTTGAGTTACAAAGATCCGGTTTTTTTTAGATCCGGTTACAATGAAAATCAAAGAAAAATAAACAAAGATTACAACTTTCTCCTTTTGTGTCGAACAAATCGCGAGCTCCTGTTTTGCGGTCGCTCGCTTTGGTGGCTCGGTTTCGGCTGAGCCCCTCAGGGTGTTTGGGTTCCGTCGTTTTGTCCGGTCTCGTGGTTGATTCGGACTCTGATTTGTTGATCTAATTTGGCAGTAGATCCGATTCCTGATTTGGCAGTAAATCCACTTCCGAGTTCGAGTCCGAAATTGATCTTGATTCGATCGTGATTCGTCCGAGTCTGCCCTTGGTTGGATGACTCGTTTACTCTTCGAATACTTGGCTTGATTCCATGCACGAATGGATGTATTCTGTTGCTTGCGTGCGATTCGTTAACCTCATCGCCTTGCTGGTTCGTCGGTTTGTGCCGAGCTGTGCTAAGGGACCTATAAGCAATTTTATATGCCTACAAACTTCGTATCATTCTATGTGCAAATTCACATCGTTTGCGAATCTACAAATGGAATCTCTTCCAATGTGGTTATTAGTATAGTTGGTTTTGTGCAAATTTGTCGTTTGGACGGTTAACAAAGTTCATCGGTTTGTAAAATTTGATAAGGAAATGGAAGTCAACTTGTTTAATTTTTCTATAAAATTCTGTTTGTCCTTCATGTGACAAGCCATCTTAGAATTGCTCCAGTTATACTTTTATGAGAAAATCTTGGGCTCTTAAACAATACATATCAGGACAAATGCCACGATTAACTACAAATATCACATATTAATATCCAGGTGTCCTTTATGTGATATTTGTAGTTAATATATGATATTTGCTATGTTATTCAAGTTTTTGATATTTATATGATTTATTACACTTGTTTATGTAACATATGATAGTTTCATGTGACATGTGACAGATTCATGTCACATATGCTGTTTTTATGTGACATTTATTGTTTATACGTGACGATTGGGTGTTGTATGTGATATTTGGGTGTTGCTTGTGACATTTGTTGTTTATACGTGACATTTGGGTGTTTTATGTGATATTTAGGTGTTGATTGTGACATTTGTTGTTTATACGTGATATATGGGTGTTGTATGTGATATTGGCTGTAATTTATTGATAGTGAATGTGCTTATTTGTCACATGACTGTAATTTGTTTATACGTGACACATGGCTGTAATTTGTTGTATGTGATATTTAGATCTAATAGAGTCATTCCACATGTGCTTATTTGTCACATGATATGCTCATTTGTCACATGCGGAATGACTTTATTAGATGTGACTTATATCACATACAACCCATATATCATTGAAATATCACATGATATGCTTATTTGTCACATGTGGAATGACTCTATTAGATGTGACTTATATCTGTTGTATGTGATATTTGGGTGTTGCTTGTGACATTTGTTATTTGTACGTGATATTTGGGTGTTGTATGTGATATTTGGCTGTAATTTGTTGATAGTGAATGTGTCACGTATAAACAACAAATGTCACAAGCAACATCCAAATATCATATACAACACCCAAATATCACACACAATACCAAAATGTCACGTATAAACAATAAGTGTCACAAGAAACACTCAAATATCACATACAACACCCAAATATCACAAGCAACACCCAAATATCACATACAACACCCAAATATCACAAATCAAATTTAATTATCACATATAAGGTAGAACTGTCACATGTAAGATTGAATTGTCACATATAACATTGAAATATCACATGATATGCTTATTTGTCACATTTACGGTTAATTGTGATACATATATGTTCTCTCATTTTCTCATTTAACCTTGAATAACTAAGAAACATAACAACACTCCCAAATTGAACTCTAATTGGATCAAAATCATCCTTACAAATGATTTCAACTCATCAAAAAAAATACACCAGGAAGTTATAATCCCAACCCACCATTCCATTTCATCATCAAACAAATTAAAATTTGTCACATGACTGTAATTTGTTTATATGTGACACATGGCTGTAGTTTGTTGTATGTGATATTTAGATCTAATAGAGTCATTCCACATGTGCTTATTTGTCAAATGATATGCTCATTTGTCACATGCGGAATAACTCTATTAGATGTGACTTATATCACATACAACCCATATAACATTAAAATATCACATGATATGCTTATTTGTCACATGTGGAATGACTCCATTAGATGTGATTTATATCCGTTGTATGTAATATTTGGGTGTTGCTTGTGACATTTGTTGTTTGTACGTGACATTTGGGTGTTGTATGTGATATTTGGCTGTAATTTGTTGATAGTGAATGTGTCACGTATAAACAACAAATATCATAAGCAACATCTAAATATCATATACAACACCCAAATTTCACACACAACACTAAAATGTCACGTGTAAACAATAAGTGTCACAAGAAACACTCAAATATCATATACAACACCCAAATGTCACAAGCAACACCCAAATATCACAAATCAGATTTAATTATCACGTATAAGGTAGAACTGTCACATGTAAGATTAAATTGTCACATATAACATTGAAATATCACATGATATGCTTATTTTTCACATTTACGGTTAATTGTGATACATATATATTCTCTCATTTTCCCATTTAACCTTGAATAACTAAGAAACATAACAACACTCCCAAATTGAACTCTAATTGAATCAAAATCATCCTTACAAAGGATTTCAACTCATCAAATAAAAATACATCAGGAAGTTACAATCCCAACCCACCATTCCATTTCCTTATCAAATTTTACAAACCGATGAACTTTGTTAACCGTCCAAATGACAAATTTGCACAAAACCAACTATACTAATAACCACATTGGAAGAGATTCCATTTGTAGATTCGCAAACGATGTGAATTTGCACATAGAATGATACGAAGTTGAATTAAAAAGGGAAAAAAGAACTCGTCTTTTGCTCTCCTCCTCGTCATCATCCCCTGAGAAATCTACAAGATTCGATCGAAATTATTTTTTGTTCTCCTTCTCATCATCATCATCAACAGCAGAGCCCCAAGAACTATGCATATTCTGATCGGACGGGCTCGAGTGAATCTGCACCATCCTCCCCATCCCTAATCTAAGCCCACACATCTACATCTGCCTCATTGCTTTCTCAACCTCCTCCTCCTCCTCATTCGATTTGCTCCCCAAGACAAAGCCATGGTTTTTCGTTAATTCCTCTCCCATCAAGGTTTGCCGACTAACTTCTAACACCTAAAATTTAAAAAAAATTTAACATGAGTAATTCATCAATTCATTGAAACGATCAAAACCAAAGAAATCCACAACAATAAACACAAAGGGAGCTCAAACACAAAAGAGAATCGACAATCAAGCTTTGATTTGATTCCATGATTCAAGTTACAAAATCGACACCCTCTTTGCCGCCAAATCCAATCAAAAGCCCCAAATCCTCAATTTCAGTTACATCTACATCTCAATTTTAGCTACATCCAAAATCAGGGTTTACAGACCCATATAAATTTGAAGAAAATAAAAACCAAAGCAAAAAAAAAAAGGAAATTACTTGATGGAGGAGATGGGCTTGCTCAGATTGGGTGATGAAGTTGGGGATGTAGAATGTTGTAGGTAGAGATCCCACAGTGTAGCTCTTCATCTTCATCCATGCTCGACGTTTGATTGAGGAGGGGGAGAGGGAGGGGATGAGGTCGGAGGAGGAGTGGGGCCGGTGGTCGGCCGTGGAGGAGAGGGGCCGGCGGTCGGTGGTGGAGGAGAGGGGATGAGGCCGCCGGAGGAGTGGGCTGGCGTTGGAGGAAGAGAAAATGTGAAAATAACCTGCAGAGGAAGAGGGAAGGGTAATTTAGGAATGATTTTATTGGGTAATGGGTTTGGGGGTTACTTGCACACCTTTATCAGTATAAGGGCTTTTGGGTTATGCTTTTTGGGCTTGGGGTGGGGATGAATGACCCAATTTAATTTGGTTCCCCCAAAGCAATTTCCCCTAAAAAAATCACGATATAAAAGTTTAGAGACAAAAGTGAGCACAAACTATTAAAGTGGAACCGATGAACAAATTTTAGTTAAAAAATAAGCCAAAAATACTTAATCATGGTATTTAACCACGTGCATTGCACGTATATAAAAACTAGTACCCAAAAAATTCAGGGGTAAGTGGAGTAAAAAAATTCAGGAATTTATTGAGAAATGCACCGAAGTGAGGGGTCCGTGTAAAATTTATACTTTAAAATACCAAAAAAAAGGGGGAAAAAGAAAAAAAGAAAAAGAAGATATCGTGCTATCTAAAACCGAAAAGGGTGAGGGTTTTAGTCCCCGGCTTCTAAAATCTTGGGCCTTGGCTTGAAACCCTAGCAGCCGTTTTCCTCTTTGTCACTCTCCGAGATGAAACTCGTCAGGTGTCGGATCTCTCGATCTCACTATCATCTCCCCGTATTATCAAATTTTGTTTTTGTTTAATTTATTCATTATTTTGATATTAGGTTTTTGATGAAGCTGAACAATGAGACGGTGTCGATCGAGCTCAAGAACGGCACTGTTGTTCACGGAACCATTACAGGTCCGTTCCCAATCGCTCTCCTTTTATGAGAATTAGGGTTTAGTGAAATATTGTTTTTAGCGGCTAGGGTTTTGTCATTTTGTTGTTCGCTTCTAAGTGCATTCCAACAAAATCTTGAAAATTTTAGAAATTAATTGGTTGTGGATTAGGGTATATTGATTTGATTACCGATTTATGTGGAGATAAGATTTCAGCAAGGTGCAAAGTTTGCATCAAAGCATTCTAAAAATTTCAACTTGTTGAAATAGCGAAAGGCATGGTTCCTATACCTTGGCATTAAAACACAAGATGAAGGATTTTTTTTAAAATTTTTATTAAAGGTCTGGGAGTTCAGAGTTGGTTAATGATTAGGGAACTGAACTTAAATTTTGCATCAAAGAGTTCTGTAATGTATTATAATAGAATGTTGTTTTTCTTGGGCTTGACGGCCTTAAATTCTGTGCAGTAGATACCTCTGTACAGTGAGTAACTGGATATGAAAGCTGAAACATATAGCGACATGCTAGCCTCACTTCGTATGAAACAAGACATATACACAGTGAAAAGAAGTGATGTTAACTGAATACTTAATTCGATAATTTCATAAAGCTGTTCCTTTTATCCAGCTAGGCGGCCTGCTGGATTTGCTATTTCCTTGTCTGAGACTATTATCATGGTTGATTGTCGACTCGTATGAGAACCAGACAAGGGCTCTGAATTTGGTTTGCTTTCCCTTATCTATTTACTGAAATCCAGATTTGTGAGAAAGATTACTAGAAGAAAAGAGATCTGTACCTATTGTGCTTGACTACAGGTTTTCTGGATTTTTATACCTACGATTCCTACACAATCTTTAGCTTGTCCATAAAACTTCCATACGAAAACCCTTGGGCATTTATCAAACTTTAACTAATTGGTAATTGCATTTTAAATTTTTTTATACCTATGAGTTTTGAGACAATGTTTCTTTAATTGTATAGACCCAAGCACATGTACATAACTTTCTACCCCATATCCCCTTCTTGTAATTGACGTATAGTAGGATTGTAAGTTGTGGTATCTTTGTTTGTCTTGTCTGCTTATCATGCCCATGCTTCCATATCATCCTATGTCAAAAAAATTTAGGTCTAACTCAAAAAATGTTGATGTCTCAGTCCTTGTTCTAAGTTTAGAGCACTCAGAATATCGGCCTATTTAACTGAAGACAAGTGATAATGCTGACCTATCTGATTGAATTATGTAAAAATTGATAGCTGGTCAGTGATGTTCCACTGGAAAGATATTTGATGAATGAGTTAATTTGGATGTTGTGACTCAGCACCAGGTAAAGAGTTGCCACTTCCATAATCATAAAGGCCAGCAATCCATATTAGTAAAACAAAGTTTTAAGTACTGGGAGATATAATCTGTATGTAACTCTCAGAGGAGGCATCTAGACATGGATAATGATACATGCCAAGTTCACCACCATTCACTTGAACCATCCGTAGCCTCTGTTCTAGTTGTATATACATATGGCCAATACTACTTCGTCGGGTCATTGGCTACCTTCATTTGCTACTTGTTAAAAGTATGCAAGTTTCCCCCCTTGGTTTTAATATGTTCTTAGTTTTTCAATATATGGTTAAGGATTATTCCAGGCCTTAAAGCTTCAGGATTTTGGGAAGTTCTGAAACTCAGCTTCAGGTTAGGTGGTATCGCATTCTGCTTTGCTAGTTAAATGTGACATTTAGAGAAATGAGAGGGTAGGTTGCAAGTGTGCTTCACTTTTTTTTTCCTGCATTTTCTTCTTTTCTTTTTTTGTGTGTAGGGGGTATGGTGGTTGGGGGGTTGCAGGTTATGGCTTGTGATATACCTGAGACTACTCTGATAGTTTATGCCACCTGCCTAGCTTTATAGCATGGACATGGTATTGTAAGACTTCTTATTTTGTTTGACTTCCCTGCAGAGGCATAACAACAACAAAGCCTTTATCTTAAAATTTTGGGTTGGTTACATGAGACCTATTCTTCCGTTCAACTTTTTATGTGTCATCTTCTCTGTTAACTATTTTCATATCCTCTCCCAACCTTTTTTTTACATCTAGTCATCTACTTCTAATCATCTTTGTCCCCTCCCCCCAGATGACTATAATTTGATCATTTATTCTCGCTGGTGTATTTATTGACCTCCGTTGTACATGACCAAATTATCTCAATTGGTTCTCTCTTTTATGTCCATAAAAGAGAAAAATCATACATGTATACCCCATATACATATGCTCATATCCTCTTTTGCGACATACAAGGAGTGTAGTATGCATCAATATGATGCATTATAAGAATTCTTGGTCATCATATCTTTTAATAATCTATAATCTTTTTGCAAGGAGCAAGACAAATGCAACAAAATTAAAAGTTTGCTTACAGATATGAAGGGATCATATGAAGTAATCCATATTTCATGGCGTTAACATATCCAGGCTGTCAAATGAATGATTCACAAGAAGAATTTAGGATTAATTGCGGATAGACCCTCTATAGTTCTATTTGTGCACATAGACCCAGCGGGTGAACTTTTTTGACTCTTGGGCAAATAGTACACGAGGTCTATCTGCACCGACAGGAACTACAGGGTTATATACGCAAGTAACCTAAGAATTATGATAACCAAGTTTTGATATTCATTAGGAAATGGATCAATTAGTTTCACCTTGCGTTCTTAAAGTTGTTTCATTGCAATATGTGAAAACACAATGACAAAAGCAACACATTCATGCAAATATTTGGGTTCAGTCACATGAATTCATTTTCTCTATTCAACTCCTTAAGGGCACTTACATTCACTCGAAACAGACAAAAATTATCAAAAATCATGGGTTGTAGTGCATGAAAATCACAAAATTTGGTGTGCACATTAAAAATTTACATTCGTCCAAAAAACGTGAGATAACTTATGAAAATCGTGATTTTGAAGTGCACATGATAAATTTTTATTCGTCTCAAACGAATAAAAGTTGGCAAAAAAGTCGTGTGTTATAACTCATAAAAATCGTGAATTGTGATGTACACATAATAATTTTGCATTCATTCAAAACAGACAAAAATTTACAAAAACCGTGTCATAAAATCATGAATTTAATATACACATAAATCTATATTAGTCTAAAACGAAAAAATTGTCAAAAATCGTGTGTATGAAAATCGTTAAATTTTTTTGATGTACATACAATAAATTTTTACATTCATTCGAAATGAACCCAAATTCAGTATAATCATGGATTATAGCTCATGAATATCACAAATTTTCATGTACACAATTAATTTATGTTTGTTCGAAACAAAATTGTAGGTTATGACTCAGAAAATCGCGAGTTTCTACGTATATTACATGCATTCTAAACAAATAAAAAAGGCAAAAAGGCCAGATTAATATATTTTTTCGAGGTTTGGTGACATATTGGTATATTTTCTTTTAGTTTTGTTAGATTGGTATATTTTTTCAACTCCGGCGTCATATAGGTCTTAAATTTGGTTGGAGTTACTGTTCCGGCCAAATTTAGTTACTGTTCCGGCCAAAAATCCCATCAGCCCTGGCCGGAACAATAACTGCGGCTAAATTTAAGGCATATATGACGTCGGAGTTGAAAAAATATACCAATCTGATAAAACTAAAAGAAAATATACCAACATGTACCAAGCCTCGAAAATATATGCAAATCTGGCCATTTTGCCAAATAAAAAATGATAATAATTGTGGGGTATAGCTCATGAAAATTGTGAATTTTGATATGCACATGAATTACATGATAAATTTGCATTCGTTTGAAGTGAACAAAAAATGTCAAAAATTATGGGTCAAGGCTTATGAAAATTACAAAATTTAATGTACACGATTAATTTACATTCATTCAAAAGGAAGAAAAAATGACAAATATCATGTGTTATAGCTCATGATATCGTAAATTTTAAATTAATGTACATAATAAATTTACATTCGCCAAATAATAAATTTACATACGTCAGAAACGAACAAAATTTGACAAAAAACATGGGTTATAGCCATAAATTTAGGAATTTTGATGTATAGACAATAGACATTTTTTTACATTTGTTTAAAAATAAAATTGACAAATATCATTTATTACAGCTCATGAAATCGTAAATTTTGATGTACACAATAAATTGGCATTCGTAAAAAAAGAGCAAAAATCTACGAAAAAAGTTGCTTATAGGTTATATAATCGCGGATTTCATGTATGCAATTAATATATATTCGTCACAATGAAGAAAAAGTAAAAAAAATTGTCAGTTATAACTCATGAAATAGCAAACTTTTACGTACACAATTTATATTCATTCGAGAACAAAAGTTCTAACAAATCATGAGTTATACTCACGAAAATCATGAATTTGCGTCATTTGAAACGAAAAAGATTGTTAAAAATCATGGGTTTATAAATGATGAAAAACCTCAAATTTTGAGGTACACAATTCGTTTACATTCGTCCAAAATGAGTAAAAATTGACAGAAATTGTGAATTTCTACCCATGAAAATTGTAAATTTTGACGTATACAATTAATTTCACATTCATTTGAAATGGAAAAAAATTTAAAAAAATGTGGGTTATAGCTTTTGAAAATTATAACTTTTTGTTGTACACATAAATTTACATTTGTGTAAAACAAATAACATTGATAAAAATTGTGAGTTATAGCTCATGAAAATCGTAAAATTTGATGTGCATAAATTTGCATTCATTCGAAACGGGACGAAAATTATGAAAAATCTTGGGTGATAGCTCATGAAAATTGTGAATTTTGATGTATACATAATAAATATGCATTCGTTCGAGAATAAAAACTAATTTTGATGTACACATAATTTTGATATGCATTCGTTCAAGAGTAAATATGCATTCGTTCGAGAATAAAAATCGCAAATTTTGATGTACACATAATTAATATAATTCGTTTAAAACGAATAAAAATTGCAAATTTCATGGTACACATAAAAATTTTAATTCATCCAAAACAAGCAA